TTTTTAAGGACATAACACATTTTTCCACATTGCTGAGCATTAGCCCCGAAGCCCCAAGAGGAGTGCGGGAAGCTAATAATTTAGTTAAGTTCGTTAAGGAAGACTCCTTCAGAGCGAGGGAGAGGGGAAGGTGTAGCAGTTGTCGGTGGAGTGGGAGCAATGTCAGGTAGGGCTTCCATATGGAAATCGGAATCCCATCAAATGTAACCGTGGGCTCGAGTTGCCCTGCCCCTGTCCTGCCCCTGTTCTGCCCCTGTTCTGCCCCTGTCCTGCCCCTGTCCTGCGCCTGTCCTGCCCCTGTCCTGCCCCTGTCCTGCCCCTGTTCTGCCCCTGTCCTGCCCCTGTCCTGCCCTGTGGCCTTCTTCTCTCCTCCTCATTTTTTTTTTTAAAATTAGCTCAATGAGCATTTGTGCAATCAAGTGATTTTTAAACAACCAAAAAGGTGCACAACCCCTGGAAAAAAAGAAGAAACCATCAGGAAAAGGGTTGCACACACACACACACACACATACGCGATACGGATACGGGTAGCAGCACTCCTCTACCCTTGGGGCGAGTTGTGTGGCAAATAAATTTCACACATATTTGCACACTCCTTGCCACACAGGCACATTCAATAAATTGTGCGTACAAGGTCGCCCCGCCCCGCCCCGCCTTGCCTCTTCGGTTGATTGTACTGGAAAGACGCTGCTTCTTGAGGCATTCCTCATATATATTGTAATCGCAGGCATATGACAAAAATCCCCCCCCCCCCCCCCATGCCTCTTCGAGTGTGTGGCGGGGGTTTATCTGTATGCAAACACAAGGCCATGTCTCATGACTCATGGCAGAGCAGAACAGGAAAAGTATAAGAAAAGGGGTTGCAACGGGGTTCCGATGGGAACCCCAGCTGCGGGTCTTCCCGGGGACACTCGAATCAACCCAACAAAGTGGGTCTTCAGTGCCCAAAGGCGAGCGCGGTTCCTTTGACGATTAATTCTGTATTCAGATCATTGATTAACAATTGACTATTGATTGGTAGTACAGCCGGATTAGGGGCCAGTATCTGAGCCATCCCGGCAGAATAAACTTTAACGAAAAACTGCAATGCCCCCACGAGTTCTTAGCGGCAAAAAGGCAAAAAGGGAAAGTAAGTTTGTTGCTCGCTCAAGTTTTTTGTTGCTAAATATACGCATGTTTGGGCAAGGGATTTTATGTATTTTATGTATGAATCTTTCGTATTCCAAAGTTCCATCTCACTGTTCGAGGGGTATTTTGTAGTCAGTATTCGACATCTGAAAGGCATTTTTTGGCTTTCGATTTATTTTTTTTAATTTTTTGTGCTATACTTTTTTTTTTAGTTTTTTTGTTAAGTATCTATTCATCAGTTTGTTTAGTATTTTTCAGTATTTTTATGGTATTTTTTCAGTATTTTCTTAAGCTATTTTTTAGTATCTATGTGTTTATTATTTCATCGTTATAAATCCGTAGTAAAGAAAAACAGCATATCATCTTTGGTATTTTTCATAGCATTATTTTTATCTTTTTTGTAGTATTTTTAGTATATTTTATTAAGTATTGTATTCTCAGTATTTGTATTTTTATTGTTAAGTATTTTTAAAAATTTATTTTGTATTTTATTTATAGTATTTTGTTTGGCATTTTTCAGTATTTTCTTTAAGTATTTTTTTTTAGTATTTTGTATAGTTTTTTTTTGTATTTTTTTCGACACTTTTGAGTATTTGTTTTTCAATTGTTAAGTATTTTTCAAAACTTATTTTATATATTTATAGTATTTTATTTTTTTATTTTTATTTGTATATTAATTGTTAAGTATTTTTCAAAACTTATTTTGTATATTATTTATAGTATTTTTATTTTTTTGGTATTTTGTAGTATTTTAAGTCTTAAAGTCCCGTTAAAGTCCTATTCCTTTGCCTGAAAATTCGCCTTAAACACCCACATAGTATGGTATGTACCTCCATCAACCGTGAACTTGTTACCGACAGGAAAAAAAGGGAGAAAAAGTGCAATTTCTGTAGAAATATCAGCACATTCCCCCATGGGATGCCCAAACGAAACGAACTTAAAGCTGACTTTAAAAATGTCAAGAAATTCAGAAACTGGTGGCTCACCGCACCCCCTCCCACCGCCCTTTGCAACATTGCGAGGGCGAGGAGGAGGACGATGCCGATGATGATGATGATGATGATGATCATTATTTCGCACAGGTTACATTCTGTTGCCACTTTCCTTGGCTTTCTTTTTTACATATTATTATTATATTTTTTTTTTTGTCAATTTCGCCGCGAGAACTGGAGTCATTTGCGAGTCGCGCTTGGAGATGGTTGAGAAGGTGTGTGTCACATTTGCCACGACACGATTTCCTTTGACTTTGGCATGCCGCCCCCCCCTGCCCCTGCCTCTGCTCCTGCCCCGGTGCCGTCTCCTGCTCAGCAGCCATCCTTCCTTCCTTCCTTCCTTCCTGCTCTAACCCCAAACACATCCTTATTTATTTCTATTTTCATGTGTCGCACACGGCAACAACAACCCAAAAATAAAATGAAACGAAACAGCAATAGAAATGGAGAGACCAAAGCTTTGGGATACCCTTTTCGATCTCCTGAAAGTGTTGGATTTTTGCAGTCGATGAGAGACGATCTATAGCCGATTGTTGGAGCATCGAGTGGCCAATGGTACAAAATCTATAGAGCGGGACTGCCTCCCCTCGATCTCAGATATATCATCTATAGAGCTGAAAATATCTCTTTGTTCCTTCTCAAGTGGGGCTATAGGTACTATATTGCAGGTCTCCCCCAATCCCCTTTCTATAAAGTGTATCAGAAGCAACAGCAGATGCCAACAAGAATTTATTTTCACTGCGCATTTTCACTCCTTTGCTAGATGGGGGGCGGGAGGGTATCCACAGCCCCACCCACACGACAATCCACTCTTTCGACTCCTCTGCTCTTCAGCCACCAATTGGACTTCCTCTTTTGACATTCATTCGCATTCGCATTCACATTCCTCCCAATTGTGTTATAAATTCAAAAATGAATAACGCACGTTTTCTTGTGGTTTTAAAATTCTATTTTATTTGTATTGCCCAGCCCCCAGCCAGCCCCCTCCCCCTCCCCGTTCCACCAGCATCCCCTTTCGGGGGGTCTTTTTTTTCTACTTTCTACTTTCTTTTTCCTGATTTTGGGTTTTCCTTTTCTCCTTGCTTATGTTTCAAAAACTCCTCCATTAGTCAGAATTGATGGATGCCCCATCCTTGGCGCTCAATTAAAACATTTTTCCAGTGACATTTGTGGGGCTTTGTCAGTGGAAAGCCATAGACGACCGCACACTGGACTTTTCCTTGGGCTTTCCCGCTCTTAAGGTTTCAATCCATATTCGGGTTTCTCTAAATTCTTTCTCCCTTTTGGGCAGCTTAAAGAACTGTTTTCCTCCTCGTTTTTTTCGCTCTTTTTCCATTGTTCTCATTGTGGGTTTTTGTAGTTGGAAAAATGCACGATTACGATTAGGATTCGGCGGAGTTTCTCTGCAGCGAAAAAGTGCTGCGGCTTCTGGTTGATTGACATCTAAGAGACGAAGGAGAGGCCTAAGCTCTCGCAGAATAAAGCCAAAAACTATTCTGGGAATAATTTGTGGGTCTAACAATGGGTCACAATTGAAAAAAATTAATTCCTACCTTTTTTTTAGAGCTGATTTCTTTGAAAAGAAAGTGATCCTTTATTGAAGTTGCCAGAAAATAAGCTAAAAATCCTTTTTTTTTGCAAAAGAATTTTTCGGGACATTTTTTATTTTATTAATTAATACTCTAATTTATTTTTAAATAAATAAATAATTAAATATCTTAGTAAAAAAAAAAACAAAAATTACTAAAAATACTATGTTAAAACATACCAAATACATACTGATAAATAATACCGAATATAAAAGAAAATGCCACAAAATACCAAACTATAATATTGAAAATAATCAAAAATAATATTAAAAATAAAATTGAAAAAAAAAACGAAGTAAAATAAGAGATTCAGGGGTGCAGAGGTCCTACATTCAACAGAAGAAGATGTCCTTACCCACTCTTGGTGTAGTATTTTTGTGATATTTTGTTGTATTTATGTAAAAAACAACAAAAATTAGTAGATTTTCCCAAGAACCATTTGCATCTTCCTCAAATGGTAAGCCACACTGGGAGAGAGAGTTAGGGCTCGTGGCCTTTGCCTGATTTGAGGCTTTCTTCGTGCTTTTTATGAATAAAAATCCATTCCACTTGAGTTCGAAAACCAAAACGAACCATCGGCCTGATTCATTCATTTAGCAATCAAAGCACAGATCAATCAGGGACCTCGAATCGAACAATTAACCCAAGCAATCACAAGAATTTCAATCAGAGAACCAAAGGATCCGACAAAAAATACCATCGAGAGGCGAACCGAAAGGCGAACGAACGACGGAAAACCATAGACAAATGGCATCAGAATTTAATTCAATTGCAAATCCCATATCATCCTGCGAGAAAAACACACACAGAAAGTGGAACCGAACGATGAACGATGTTCTAGGAGAAGGATGAACAAAAAAAAAAAACATTCAATTATGAATTCCGAGAAACAGCTTTGAACAGAATAAAAAACCCAAAAAAAAAAAAGAAACAAAAGTAAGAGAAAAACTACATACAGGGGAAAAAAGCAGTTTTATTTATCCAGCATTTGACTTTGAAATGATGAGAATGCTAAAGCAAAATGTTACAAACAGCAGAGGGAGGGAAGGGGGGGGGGGGGAGGGTTCTCCCATCCAGAGAGATAAAATTTCATTTTGTCTGACATTCATAAGTCACATGCCCCCGAAACACTGCCACAGAGGAGACCATTTCTCCGAGTATATTTTTGTAGACCTTTTTTTTTGCCCTGTTGTTCGGTTGGTTACACAGTTTGTTGCAAAAGTATACGCCTGCTAATTAAATTGTGACTCTGTTCTAATATCTTGTACCATTTCGTTCTCATTGCAGCAGCAAAATCTGGCAGCCTCAGTGGAACGAAAGTGGAAATATTCTCCAAGAATTTGGTAAGTGCAATCGACGGGGAGAAAAAAAAGAAAAAAATTTGAAAAAAACCTTAAAAAATACTTAAAATATCTTAAAAAATTGGAAAAAATCTTAAAAAGTACTTAAAATATCCACAAAAATATTGCTTACTCGGTATTTTTTTTTCAATGAAATACCAAAAAAATACTACACCGGGAGAGGGCAAGGTAATCTATTTGTCATCCTGAACGCCTGAAGCTCTTATTTTCCTTCGAAAATCCCTTAAAATTCCACAAATACAAATATTGATCGAGAAGTCCTGCAGGAATGCAGGAGGCATCCCTTGAAACACATCAGTTGAACTATTAAAGAGACCCTGAAGGTGGGTGGGTAGGTGTACTCTCCCAAGTCCAGTGAGGTTAGGTGAGGTCAGAGGGAACTTTCCATTTCCACCTGATAATCGTCTCAATATTTCATACGCCCCGTGAACCCAGGAACTCGTCGAATATTTGATTTCCGTGCTCCTTCATCAACGTCTAATCCCCAGTGCCCACTTTAATGCTTCTCCACTTGCCCCGCGCACTTGAACCCGAAGCCCAGCGACTCGATTCGCCACCCTCTCCATCCCATCTTGTGCCGCTCCCACCCCCTGTCGACGCTCCTCTGGCAAATCTAACCAAATGCCAACACAAATTTTGTTTGCTTTTTGTATTAGGTTGACAAAAATCAACACCCAAGCCGCCAGGCAGTCAGGCCAGGCCAGGCTAGGGATTCCTCTCGCAGGAGATTTATGGGCTACAGGCGGAGGTGGAGGCCTTCGTCTCTCTTGCTTTTTGAGCTGTTTGTCTTTTGCAAATGTTGGGCAATATTTTGCGGTAAAAGGTGAATTTATTAGCACTACTCCTGCTCCTCCTGCTGCTCTCCCTTCTGCTCTTCCTTCTGTCCTACTGGAAAAACTTCTTATCGCCAGCACACATTTTTCATGGACTTAAGATCTTGACAAATCATAAACAAAATGCACACCAAAATGAGTGAGAAATGGATGGAAAGAAGAGGCAGGGGCAGGGCCATCTCTTTCCTTTAATCAAATCCCAAACAAAATGTCAATAAAAAGCCACACAGAACCCATAGACAGACCCGAATAGATGGAGATGCATATCAAAGGTATCGAAAAAGAGGATGGGGCGAGAGACAGTTAGGCACACAAATCTCCACATTCAAAGGCCATTCCAGCATTCCAGCATTCGCCGATACCCATTCCATGGTCCACTTTATGAAATAGAAAATGAAAATCTTCATGGCTTAAGCCTCCACTAACATGGAGATGATAACCGATGGGGGGCGGGGGACATTTGGGGGCACCGCAAGATACGCATCTCTTGAGGATTGTGTTGCCTCTTCAAAATTCCGTTTCTTTTCTTCATTCGGTTTTCGGTTTTCGGGTTTCCCTTTTGTTAAGCCGATTTCTGGTTGACTTTTTTCTGTATGTCTCTCTGTCTGTCTCTCTGTCTGTCTCTCTGTCTGTCTCTCTGTCAGTCGTGTGTGTTGCGACATAAAACACAATAAAAGTGAAATAAAAAGCACACACAAAATCTTGGCCCTCTTCTGCTTTTAGGCTGCGATGACAGTCAAAGAGGGAAAGAGAGAGAGAGGGAAAAAGGGAATGGATGTCAACGCTATCATTTTCGAAATTCCAATAAGTTTCCATTTGCGCGATACATTCGGAAAAAAGGTTCTGTTTGATGAACAGATTGGGAACAGTACAGTGGAACAGTACAGCCCTCTGCACTCTGGAAAAAGGCAGTTGTTTTTGAGTTCGATTAAAGGAGATAACGTGTATGGATAGACAGATATAAACCGAGCTATGGATAGACTCTGAAGATGGTCTTGATGCCCATTCACATGAGCCTAATGACGTTGATTCACTTTCAAGATGTTCTATGAGTGAATGTGCTTCACGTTCCACGTCGCGTGGGATTGTGGCGCTATCCGACGTGCGACTTTCGTTTTTGAAGTATTACAATAGTTGTTTCCGAAAATTGCATATTCATATAAATATCCAGTATTTTATTTGTTTTTTTTTTGTATTTAGGTTGTATTTTTATTAGGTATTTTTTATGACATTTTTATAGTATTTTAAACAACAATTTCATTTGGTATTTTTTTTTTTAGTAGCTATGAGTACTGTTTTTGGTACTTTTTCGTGGTATATTTACTAAGTGTTTTTTTCAGAGAAAATTTGGTATTTTTAAAGAATTGAAAGAAAATTTAATAATTTAGTATTTTTGCAGAATTATTTTAATATTTTTTATGAAATAATTTAGAATTTTTTCCAATTTTATCTAGTATTTTTTCAGAGTAACTAGAGAATCAGAGAATTATTATGTTTTCTAGAATTAATTTAGTATATTTTTCCGAATCAATTTAGTTTATTTCAGAGCTAATTTAGTATTTTTTCAGAATTAATTTAGTTTTTTTTTGTGAAAAAATTTAGTAATTTTTCAGAATTAATGTAGTATATTTTCTGAAATAATTAAGAATTTTCCAGAATTAATTTAGTTGTTTTCTGAAATAATTTAGTATTTTTCAAAGTTAATTTAGTATTTTTCAGAATTAATTAAGCATTAATTTCATATAAATAATTTTGCAGTATTAATTTAGTAGTTTTTCCATTTACACTTTTAATTTAATGAAGCGTATTTTCAGTGTAGTCTTAGATGAGGTTGTTAGTATTTATGTAGCAATTTTCAGCTTATTTCCTCAATATTTTTCTAGTAATTATCAGTATTTATTGGGAATTTTCGCAGTATATTTTTATAGACTCTTTTCAGTACTAAGTATTTATTTAGTATTTCATGGATTTATGGGATTTTTACAGCGAAGCATTATTGCCTCAGCATCAGTTGCCTTTGCGGCATCCCTATGTAAGGCTTACCTTCCCTCAAATATCATTGCGAATGGCTGCGAATGATAACAGGGTTCCATTGTTCCATAAAGCACTGCTTAGACCAGATATTTCCTACATTCAATATACATATGACTAAGCTTAACTCTTCCATTAATCCACTCTTCAGAAGCAATATCTCTCCAGAACCCCGGAACCTGAACCTTTTCCCCTACGTAATCCCCTTCGTCAGCCCAATAATTGTCTCCCCTTTCTTTGTGGGCGCATCCTCCTTCCTCTCGCATATTTTCCTTAGTTTTCCAATGAAATTTTCTCATTCATTTGATCAAATATTTGAATGCCGAAGAAGTTGAAAGAAAAACAGCTGGCAGAATGCATTTCCCTTTCATTAAGCTTCCAATTGTTGTTGTTGTTTTTAGACACTGCCACTGCGCGGTGTTTTTGTTGCTGTTGTTGCAGCTGCAACATTCGCCCCCAAGTTGTGGCCCACATTTTGTGTGTTCGGTTCATTTCGGTTTCTGTTTTTGTTTCTGTTGCCGCAGCTCCCCTTGCTGGCCAAGAAAAAATCAGCTTCCACTAGAGCGCTTGTGGCACGAGCTGCTGGCTGCCCGCCGCCCCCACTGCCAAAAGTTTCGTGTATGTATGTTAATTAAAGTCATTACGTGGAGGACGCCACCAACGCCAAGAGTCCCAAAGTCCAAGAGAAACAGATGGCAAATGTAGTTGCTCGCTCCACTCGCCAGTCCGCCATTCTGCCAATCCGCCACTCTGCGGCTCTGCGGCTCTGCTCCTTTCCGAGATGAGTGGAGCATACGCTCTCTCGGGACCCTGTGCCTCATCCTGTTGCTGGATTCTAGGAGCAGCAGCAGCAACAAAGTGAAGCCAAACGCTTCGCCAAATTGGCCAATTTTCATATGCATGGCAAGCAGGAAAACCAGCAGAAGGACGGACCATCAGCAGCAGCAGCAGCAGCAGCTCAAGGCACAGACCCCCCCCTGACGATGGAGGCTGCCTGGGAAAATCTCCTCTTTGGCATTGACAACAATGAATAATTTTGGTTAGGACGATGGGCGATGGGCGATGGGTGCTGAGGGCGAAGCATGAGGTGTGCGTCGTGGCAAGGGCTCTGAATGGGTCTAGCTAAAGGATCAGGAGCAGGACGAGGAGGAGAGGCGTACAGCGGTGTGGTGGCCTGACTGCAGACGCCACGTGTCAGAAGCATTGTTCAAATAATGAAACATGTGAAATGACTGCACTGATAGAAATCGAATTGGAGTTATGTATATTTTGAAATTTAGAAGTGGGAACAGTCTTAGTGGGAACAGTTTTGGGTGGGAAGAGTTGATGAGAAAAGTTTGTGAGAACAGCAAATTGCGAAAAGTCGAGTGGGAACCAGTTGAAAAATGGATCATTGAGTGGGAACAGCTAATGAGAACACTTGGAAAATAGAGCCAAGTGAATGTTAACAGTTAACAGGTAGGAACAGTGTTTAGGGAACAGTCAATGGAAAGGGAACAAATCGACTCGTCTCCTTATAATCGATTTACCCCGGACTTCCACTGGCAAGCCAGACCCCGAAAAACCCCGCCCTTATTTCTGGCAGTGTACGAGGGCCGTGCTTGGGTGTGTGGCCATCATTTTCCTTTCATGTGCCTCCTCTAATGATGCACAACATGCACAAAATGTGTTAATGACAAACCAACTGGCGACGGGACGGGATGGGACAGGACAGCACCATGGTGGGGGCTCATGAGCTCTCCTTTTTTTGTGTGCCGAGAGCGCACTCGATGACTGCCTAATGAGTCCATGAGCCCCCGAACCTGTTGCCCTTTTGCCAAGTGCTGCGTGGGGGGGGGGGGGGGATGGCATGAGTGTAGCAGAAAGAACCTCTTGCCTTGAGATACTTTTGCTTTTCAAATCGAAAACTGTGCTGCCTGCTGCCTGCTGCCGCTGCCTGCTGCTGTCGGGGCCAAAGTGAAGCAAATTAAATTGCAGCATGAAATCGAATTGCCAGCAGGCAGCTGAGGCATTCAAATACAGAACGTGGATTGGGGCTGCTGGGGATGTATCCATAAGATACATTCAATGCTTTGCTGCTCGGAACTCCTCTCATTCTTGCAGCTGCTGCTGCTGCTGCTGCTGCCCCCCGAGGACGATGGACGGAAGAGGATGAACCCAAGATTCAGAAGACTTTAAATTGCTTTTGCCAAACGGTGCAGCATCTCGTGCAGCATCGTCCCCACCTGAAGAGCAGAGGGGGGTGGCACACGCACACACACAGAACACAGCGACTAAGGGAAAAATAATATAAGAAGAAAAAAAAAAATTAAAGAGAGTTCTCTACAAAGTGTTCGATTAAAATAGATATTTTTATGGCTTTTGCATTCGAGTGCATTAGGCGAGTGGTTTTTGGCCAAGGCAAAACCAGGGGGAAGGTTCGTACATCGATCGCTTATTTATATGGTACTCATGGAGAGGGAGTCTACAGTAGAAGAGAGTCATAGATACTATCCACATAAATATGTATTTGATATATATCATCTTCAACGGGAAATTGAGCTTCCAAGGGCTCAAGGACTCAAGGCATGCCATCAAATGTCCATCCAAAGGGCTAATTTTATTTAAAGTTTTACAAAATATAAACATAAAATTGAACAAACTACATATAGAGTCATACAAAAATGCTCAGGAAAATTTGCGAAATACTAAACAAAAAAAATAAATAAATAAATAAAATAAAAAATAAAACTATACCAATATATATATATATATATTTTTTTTTTTAATCATCGTAATTTTTCCTGTGACTGTTTTATAAATTGCTCCAAAACAGGAAACAACAAATTGTATTATTAAAAAAAAAGATAATAATAATACCAATATCTAACTAAATATTCAGTAAATAAATATAATACAAAAATATATATAAATTTAAAAAAACATATAAATAAATATAAATATATATAATATTTATAAAAAAATAAACATATATAAAATAAGTACTGAAAAAATACTTCAAAATGTCGTTCCATAAATTTGTAATCAAATTGTTGAAAAAAACTGAAAACATGAAAAATAAGTATTGGAAAATACTTAAAAAAAGTACTAAACATATATATTGTGTAAGCTTTAAGATTCCTTTTGCTTTTAATTGCAATTTCAATTGCATTTCCCAGCAAAAAAATACCCACAAAATACCAGCAATCATTTGAAAGTGGCAGTGCCTGAGCAGAGATTCACGGGCAAATGTTTTATGAGAATCCCTGCCCAAAAATCTTAATTGAAAAATGCATATCAATTGCGATATTGGTCTGGTGTTTGCGGAGTTTTTCCTTTGGTTTTTAGGCAGAAACGACAAAAGCAACTCAATCAGTGCGAATACTCGTATCAAAATGTTGAACAAATGCAGCAAATAAACGGCATATTGTTGCCAGTGTTGTTCTCTGTTATCAGTGTTGTTTCTGCCGTTTCTGCCATTTCTGCTGTTTCTGTTGGCCATTTTTTATTGTTGGCAACGCCTCGACAAGACCACAAACAACTCGTTAGAATTTGCATGCAAAATGCAATTGCCCAAAAACAAAACAAAAAAACGTAACAAAAACTAACAGCAAAAAATACTAGAAAAATCCCAGAGAAAAATGAGAAAAAACAGCTAGAGAGAGAGAGAGAGAGAAAACAGAAATCCAAACAAAAAGTAAAAGCACAAAAAAAGGAAAGGAAAAGCAAATACGCAGAGGCACAAACATTTCCGAGTTTTGTTAAGGATTTGAACAGAGATGGCGATAGACCAGATAGAGGGCGTCGGAGGGTGATAGAGAGAGGTAGCACGTGGCAGAAGTATCTGCGGGGCAATGCAAATTGGGTATTGCAACAGCAGCAGCAACAGAGGGGGAGGTGGAGGTGGCGGTGGCGGTGGCGGTGGAGGAACAACCCATCTAAACATTTGACTATATGGCAGCCGGCGGATGGCTATCAATTTGATATATCAATCAGAGGCAAAACGAGACTAGAGACTGACCAGAGTGATGGAAAGGGGGTGGCGGGGGTAAAGTAAAGGAAGAGGAAATTCATTTCGATATTTGAATACCCTGTAGGATGGTACGTGGGTTAATGGCCGTGATGGAAGCAGTCGAATGTGAAGGCTGTAATACTAGGCGCATATCAGATGCGGTTTTCCCATTATATATCGTACGGTTTTCTTTATTCTTTCGTCTAAAAGTCAAACATTTGATTCCTCTGCTCATAGAAATATTTTGAAAAATCCTTGACCGCACTAGATTTTGGTTTAGTATATTCAGTATTTTTTCAGTATTTTCTTGTACTACTTTTCTTATTGTATCTATTTAGTATTTTTTGTATATATCTAGTATATAATATTTTTCAGTATTTTCTTTAAATATTTGTACATATTTAATAGTTTAAGGTATTTATTCAGAAATTTTTTGAACATACATATGTACATATATTTCAGTATTTTTGTGGGCAGTTTTGTTGTTAATATTTGTATTCAGTATTTTTAGGTATTTATTCAGAACTTTCTTGTACATATGTATATTTCAGTTAAAATAGTATTTCAGTATTTTTTCAGTTTTTTTTTTTAAATATATGTTTTTAGTATTTTTAGGTATTTATTCAGAACTTTCTTGTACATATATTTCAGTCAACATAGTATTTTAGTGTCTCAGAATTTTTTTTTAGGTAGTATTTTTTTAAATATACATATGTATTTATTTTTTTTAGGTATTTATTCAGAACGTTCTTGTACGTATATTTCAATCAACATATATTCAGTATTTTATTGCATTATTATTTTTTTTTTAGTTTTTTAAAAGTAGTTGTTCTAGTATTTTTTATATAGATATTTTTGCATTATTTATTCAATATTTATGTAATTTTTCATTGCATTTAAAGGGCTCTGAATCCCTCGTTGTAAAAGGTCTCAGTTCGTGTCATTCGAAACGAATGTGGCCGTTCGTTTATGGTTAACCAGCCCTCTGAACACCCAAGGGCCATCAGCACTGAGCTCCACTGTATTCCTGGCCAATTACTGCCTTCATGCCCATTCGCGCTAACGTTTCTCTGAGGCAAGCCTTGATGAATCATTGAGATTCGCTGAAGAGATCTTTTACGGCCCTTAAGCCCTCGAAATGTTCCGAGTTCATCATAAAAAAAAAAATACCATTTCGGGGAGGTTTATATTTTCTTTAATTTCTGTGTTTCCCTTGAAGGCGTTCTAATAACCGATAATAGCCGCGAGAGAGAGAGAGAGAGAGAGAGAGGAAGACTCGGTTTTTTTGTTCTTTCGGTGGCTCTGTACTTGCGGCAAGCCACATGTAGCATGTAGCATGGAGCATATACAGGTTTTTGCCAGTCGGTCTGCCTGTCTGTCTGCCTTCTAGGATTATCTTGGACACACGCTGGGGGCCAGGGCCAAGGAGAGGGCCCGGGGAGAGGGCGACTCATAAAGGGATCTGACTCTCCCACTGATTGATTTATGTTTCCCCCTGTGGCAGCGGCAGTGGCAGTGGCAGTGGCAGTGGCACTGGCAGGCACCAAGGGGCAGCAGGCACTCGTCACTAAACATTTTTGTTGTTGCTCCTTGGTCCTCCTCCCACGCTTGGGCTTCTTTCTGGCTTTGCCGCCGCCTCTCCTTTGACTGTTAATAGCTTTAATGCTGTTTTATGGCATTTCGTGGAGAGAGCAACAACTGATGGGGCATGTGGCATAGACCGGCATTTGGGAACTGGAACTCTGGTGGCATGCCAGCGCCAAATGTTTTACATGCGTGCTATTGCTGTTGCTGTTGCTTTTGCTGTTGCTGTTGTGGGTCCGTCCCGGCTTCCTCTTCCTCTTCCTCTGCCACTTATTGTGGCAACAATGTTTTCGCATAAATAAATTGGAATTGACTGTGGGGTGGCGGGACAGGGGGCAGGGATAGGGGTGTGGGATAGCTCTGGTAAAGCTCATAATTCCAGCTTTTATTTGTGGGATTTTGGCATGGAATGTCAGTCATGCACCGCACCGCTGCCCCATGCCCCATGCCCCATGCCCGCATGCGCATTCGGATGCTTCCATTTGCAACTCTGATTAATGGCCATGTTTTCACTCTACCTCTTCCACAGATGATGCCCCACTACTAGAAGGAAAACCTAAGCCCAAATACAGAGAGCAATCTCCACAGAGAGTGGAAGGACACAGAGAGAGCGACAGAAGGACAGAGAGAGCGATTCCAGATCGAAGATCCCAGTCAAGATTCATCATGTATCCGGCCAGTGCCAGCAGCAGTGCCGCATCTGCAGCATCCAAATTCCAGAATCGCTGCGCATCGCCACAGTTTGCCAGCTTTGCGCCGCCGCCACCGGGCGACTATCCGCATCCGCATCCGCATCCGCATGCACACTCGCATCAGCATCAGACGACAGCCGCGGCCGTACACAATGCCCCTGGCGGCGGTGGCAGTGGCGGTGGCGGTGGCATTGGCGGCTCGATGCGTCATCCTAGCCAGCGCTCCACCTCGGCCACGGCAGCGCATCAGATGACCCTCAATCATGGCGGGCACGGCGGCCACGGCGGCCACAATCACGGCCATGGCGGCGGCCTGAGCATGGGCCATGGCACGGCCGCCACACTGGGCCACCATCATCATGTGGGCTCTCATCTGATGTATCCCGACGACATGGACAGCATCGAGTTCTGCATGCCAGCGGCGCCGTCGTCCTCGTCATCGTCCTCACAGCAGAATGGCGGGGAACAGCTGCTGTTGGGCAGCAGCCACGGGGAGGCCTTTACGGAGCGTCGACGACGCGGACACAGTCGCCGGAGCAACCACAAAATGGACGTAGAACAGCAGGTGAGGATACGTGGCGAGAGCCCTTCGCTTGGGGGAACAATACGGCGACAAAACATGGGGAATTCCTTGGATTATGTTCCCCCAAGTGAGAGGCTGCCTTCCACTTAGGGGACTTTCCATTGAGCTCCATTGTTCCCCGCAGCGAAAGGTATCCTTTTCCATAGAGAGCCTTTCACTTGAAGCCTTGAAAACGTGACAAATGTTCCCCCAAGTGAAAGGACACAGTCCTATATCTTTCTATACACTCAACCGATCTCCTCTCTCTCTCTCTCTTTAGGTGAAATGGTCCCGCAAGAACATTGCCGCCACAATGGAACGCTTTGAGCCCACAACCAACACACAGTCCTCGTCGTCCACCTCATCGCTGGACTATGGCTTTGCCGCCGGCGTTATGACGCCCAGCAGCAGCAGTGCCACGCCGTCGCATGGCGGCGGCGCCTCTGGTGGCGGCATGTCCTCCACCCCCTCGCTGCATGTGGCCTTCAACGGGGGCGGTGGCGGTGGCGGTGGCGGCGGCGGTGGGTCTGGTGGTGCTGCGGCTGGGGCCAGTGGCGGCGCCGTTGGAGCAGCTGCTGCGGCGGCACCGTTTAATCATGTCTACTCGTACGCCTATTACGAACCAGGGGCGGCCAAGTGCCACACGAATGTACCCGCCCAGGGATCCGCACAGGCCCAGGCCCAGGCCCTGGCCCATGCCCATGCCCAGGCCCAGGCCCAGGGACAGATGCAGATGCAGATGCAGGCGCCGTCGAAGAGCCCGCCGAGGAACTCCATACGCGCTCTGTTGGCCAAGAGCTTCCGCTCGAAATCATCGTCACACAACGGGGGGGGACAGTCCACGTCGTCGTCGCCGAGCGCCGAGGATCGGGACAGGCACACGTACACCACCCGCTACGGCACCACCGAGAATCTGTACGAGGAGGTGAGCGAGCAGAAGATCCGCAAGGTCCTGTCCGACAACCGCATCGCCTCGTCCAGCGTGGGGAACGTCAAGGAGGAGCAGCGCCGCGTCCAGCACAATCATTTCCGTGTGCTCGACGAGCTAAATCTCTCCCTGGAGGCCCTCATCATGCCCCCAACGCCCCCAGATATTAGTCCCAGCCATGCGATAGCCGTCAACGTCGATGAGATGGGAATGGGCATGGGGATTGGGATGGGAATGGGAATGGGGCCCATGAGCTCCGCTGCATCCTCCGGCAGCAGTGGCTTGGGACAGGCAGTGGCCTGCTCCTCCTCCTCCTCCTCCTCTGCGGCGGCGGCGGCGGCGGGGGCGGGGGCGGGTGCAGCGGCGGGGCCACCATCCTCTCTGGTGGCCAACAGCAGCAGCAGCAGCCAATCGAAGACCGCCCAGAGGCCACGCCGTGGGGGATTGCTGGGCGGTTCGGCGGCCAGCGCCAGCGCCAGCGCCAGTTCGGCCTCGCATGCCAGCCTCGAGAATCTGTCGAGCACTCTGAACAGCATGGAGCTGAAGGATCATCATCATCATCACCAGCAGCAGCACCAGCAGCACCAGCAGCATCACCAGCATGGACACACGAGCAGCAGCTGCATCAATCCGGAGTTCGATGAGGGGGATCTGGACAGCGGATTCAGTGGCAGTGGCAGCAGCAGCGGCGCCAGCTACAATGAGAGTCTGCGCTACTACAAGTCAGCCACGCCCACTGGCCACAATCTCAATCTCAATCTGAATCTGAATCCCACGCTCCACCACCAGCAACAGCAACAGCAGCAGCAGCAACAGCAGCAGCAGCAGCATCCCCTGAACAACAACAACAACAGCAACAGCAACAACAACAACACATTGCCCCACAATATTCGCAGCTGCCGCTCATCGACGGCCTCCGGGACATCTACCTCGAAGAGCAGCATGGCCAGCTGTGGCGAGGATCAAGGCATCGCCGGCATGGGAATGATGGTGGGCTCTGGAGCTACTGCTGCTGCTATGGCAGGACCCACTGTGGCTGCTGCTGCTGCTGCCGCTGCCGCTGCCGGAGTGCAGGAGACCAGCCTGGGCTCCCTGTCGCCCTTCCATTATCCACGACGCTGTTCGGCCGATCAACAGCGTGCCTCCGGCCGATCGATTGCCTCCGGATCCGGCATGGGAGTGGGTGGCGGAGTATCCACAGCGGTGGCCATGTCCGGGGCAGGCAGCTACAGCCTCAGCAGCAGCAGCAATGTGGCACTGTCCACCGGAGCGAAACCCAAGAAGAATTTCTGGACCATGAAACCGTGATGCTACAAAAAGGCGCTGCGTCACATATGCAAGAAATGGACTATTGTCATGGTGAGTCACATCTCGATCAATGCATCCTATAGAACATGTTCCCAAGTCCAGATATAGCTTTATCTGTTAGGGTATCTTTCTTGAAGAGAGTCGGTGTGGCTCTCCTCCGGCAGACGGCGCTAACATTGAACGACGAAGAGTGCAGAACGTGTCGTCGTATCATGTAACAGAGGCATATCACAGACGTCTCGTTGTCCTTGCTCGAGCTCTTATAGTCCCTGAGCCCTAGGCGGACAGACAGACATGGCTCAAACGACTCGGCTATGGATGCCGATCAAGAATATATATACTTCATGGGGTCGGAAAAGCTTTCTTCTGGATGTTACACACAAATCCTTTGCGCCTTTTGAGTATCGGATATAAAAAGTGTGATTGATGGGTCGTAAATATATGTCTTATATTATTGCTGCTGGAATGATACTTTTTTGAAGACCCAAAATATTGTTAAATAAATCTTACTTGCTGGGACGTAAAGCCATAATTTGTAGCGGAAAAGTAAACGATTTTCATTCACAGATTGCATGAAATATTTCGATATCTATATCATAAGAATTGGCACTGAAAACTGGAATAAAATTGGGGGTAATAGATATCTTTATAGACTTGTATAACATCTTCAGAATAATATTTCACAGCCCAAACTGCATAAAAAAGCAATGAAAATCTGTTTGCTTACACTAAAAAAATGGTATACTCGTAATATTCATTAGAAATCTTCTTCCCTGTGGAATCATAGAATATATATATATAGGTGTTCCTTGAGGTATTCCCCGTATAAACCTGATATCCTCTGCAGCATCGAGAACACAGATACAGGTACCTGATCCCACTGCCCCATCATCCTTTTGTGCTGTGAATCCTTTCTCTGTGTGTGAAATATTCAATGCTTTGTATGGGGACACCGTTTTGTCATTTAAGATCATATTCCATGATTATCTACCCATCAGCCATCATCGTCAAACGTGGAATATTCCCACACCCAGCCCCACCCTCGGGCGAGGGGGCTCGGCAATCTATAGAGAGCACTGGTTTTTCCGGGCGGCATCAATTTCAACTTTTCAACTTTAATCATAATAAATTTGCGGCCTGTTTTTCGAGTACGAAAGAGAGTCGAGTCGTCCGGGAGTCAGGGCCATTGCCAGGGCTTCGTTTCAAAAGCAATGAGGCACTTCCGTTGGACTCATTCAGGAAGTGGCACAGAGAGAGAGAGAGAGGAAGTTCCAGATAGAAAGAGATGGGCAGCAGTGGCAGCGGCAGTGGCAGCGGCAGCAAATCCACATTCCCAAGATAATAAATTTATTAACTTGCAACGAGAGAGAGAGAGAGAGAGAGAGAGAGAGGCCCAACAGCAATACACACACAGCTAAAAAAAAAACATCATCATTATGTGGGAGGATTTCACCCTCTCTTATAATGCCATCTACCATCTCTACCATCTCTATCCGCTCAATCCTCCCTCTCCCTCTCCATCCACTCCAAAAATGAATCAATTAAAACTGATTGAACGCCATAGATTCCCAGCAGCGGCAGCCCCTGAGCCTCAGACTTCGGGCTTTGGGTTTCAGGCTTCATCTTCCATTTCGTAGCCGAAAAATAAAGAAAAATTAATTTATAACCGAAAGAACTGGGGTAATCCGGAGATCGCTCATCAGACACTCGGCTACATATGCCCCCATTTTTATAGCAATGGTCACGGGGATTACCAAAAGCAGTGGATGGCATGGGATGGGATGGAATGAGGGCACAAGATGCAGCAGCAGCAGCAGCATCAGCAGAACAGACGACGACCATTAAGGCGCCCGTCGAAAGGCGAGACAAAACCCAAGATACTCCCTCGAACCTCCCCCTACCCATTCACGGGGTGTGTGAATAATATCGTTATTCATTGCATTTTGTTATAAATCTGTCAATTTGCACAATTGTGCGTGCGGAGAGAGAGAGAGAGACGAGAGAAGGAAACCCGGAATGGCATGGGATTCTCGATGCAATTCGACAGGCAACCGTCTGCAAGGGGGTGGTGGGAACACACACACCACAGGAGGAGGGTGGAGGGCAACCACACTTCAGCCCCTGCACAGCATGGCCGCAGGGTGCGCTGAGCGCAAGTTTCGGGAACCATAAAAAATCTGTTGCGAAAAATACTCGAAAATGCCACGGCCTGGCCGGAATACACAACAATGTTGTTGTTCCTACTCCCGCATTAATATACGCTATAATGCGAGAGAGGGTATCACGAGTATTGCAAGAGGTCTGCTGTCTGAGGTTTGATGTTTGATTACGAAAAGATACCAGATGCCACCTGAAACGAGCCCCCCTGAATCGGATCTCCATATCATATTATTTGCTGGCGGGCAGTGGGTATATCCTGTGGTATTTTTTGGGGAGTTTATAAAAATTGGTATAAGAAATCTTTGGAAAATCATGGACAGTTAATTACTGTTTTGTTGGGAGTTCGGTATTTATTTGGGATTTTTTTTCTAAATTTTTTGTAGTATTGCTTAGTATTTATTTAGTATTTTTAGTATGTTTTAGTATTTTGTTAGTATTTCTTTGGTATTGTTTAGTATTTTTCAGTATTTTATTGGTATTTTCATTATTTATTTGGTATTTTTTATTACTTTTTTATGAGGTATTTTTAATTATTTTTTTAAAGTATTTTTAGTAATACTGATATTCTTCAGTATTTAGCTGGTATTTCATGTTCCCAAGTCCAGATATAGGTTTATCTGTTAGGGTATCTTTCTTGAAGAGAGTCGGTGTGGCTCTCCTCCGGCAGACGGCGCTAACATTGAACGACGAAGAGTGCAGAATACTGATATTCTTCAGTATTTAGCTGGTATTTCATCCCGCCATGTCTCAAGTCGCCCTCCTGTTCTTGTCACCCCCGTCCTTTCGCTTAGGAGAGCATTTTTCCACCGATTCAAAAGGCGAAAAATATATGTCAGGGTATCAACAGATTCGTTGCTCCATAGCGACAGCCTCTGCTCTGTGGTGCGTTTGTTGTCCGATGCGTTGATTTATATTCGAAGCTGCGCTGAGGCGCAGCTAATTTGCCTCGGGTGTTAAGTAGCATGTGAAGTAAACGGTGGCAGCGCAGGGCAGGGCAGAGCCCAGTGCCGAAAGAGAGAGAGAGAGCCCCTGGAGAAAGGGATCCGGGCGGGCGATGATATTCATGAGAGCTCTGAAAGGGGAAAACTCAACCGTCCATTCAATGCGCCCCGTTTTTGAATGCGCGAATGTGCATGTGTGAATGGTCCATTGAGTGACCAAGTGGCCCGGGGAACACCACTCTCCACACTCGAGGGGGTTGGGCGGCTGGTGGGGGAATTCTTAAGTTATTTATGGGATTGGCTTAGTTTTCAGATTCATTCATGCTCATAAATTCATTCAGTTTTGTGTACCATTCAAAGGCAGCACTCACCTTGAATTCATTTAAAGATTTCCCACTAACTTTGGGCCTCTTTAGGGCTTCTGGGGACTATTAACAGAAATGCAAACGAAAATGCCATGGAAAATCTCGGAAAATCTCTTTAAGCCAACATTTTTGTTGATTTTTGATTTTTCTCTATGGACGATACAGAACTAAACGTTTTTCCAAATGTCTAAATTGTTGGAAACTTTCGTCTGCCTTGGCTTTCGGCCTGGGTTATATTTACGTATATATTATTTGCATTTCGCCTCCCAGCCAGAGGGACATTCCTGCTGCATTCACCTTGAACTTACTCACTCGCGACCAACGCCTGCCGACCCCGACCAATCATTCCTATTCATTCCTGTTCGTTCCTATTCAGGCCCTTCATCGATGGCATTCAATTTCGTCCATTCACAGAGAGGAGTGCACATTTTTGAAGTACTTGCGCTCCTGCCAGACATCACATAACATCCTCATCGCCATCATCTGGGGAATCGGCAACGGAATAGGATTCCCCCTTTCTCTCATACGAGTATGTGAGTGTGTTGGTTGGGTGACCGAAAGTCTATCTTGAAACGATTTGTGCACACTCGATTTGACAGTCAGTCAGTCAGTGCCCCATGCAACATGCCCCATGCCCCATGCGCCACTTCCTGGAGGAGTCCGTCCCTTTGAATCGTTTAAATGTAGCCAACAATAATAAAACATTTTAAACTTGCGGCAGCGGCTAATAAAGGGAAGAGAGAGAGGGAGAGAGAAAAGAATGGTACGGGCAAAGCGGAAGGGAAATGGAGAAGGACGGACCCAAGCGAAAGGAAGAGGAAAAGGAACTCCGAAATGAAATCAGAGCCACATCGAAATGGGGAAACGTGTGCTGCTGCTTTTGGCCAAATATGAAAATGTATGTGGGATATGGGAATGTGAATGCGAATGCGAATGCGAATGCGCCCCAGGACCACGAACAGAACGATGCCGGGCGATTTGGGGATTCCAGAGCTGGACAATGCCGCATATAAGTAATGAAGATAAGGCCAACAAGAAGAAAGAAGAAGGGGGTGGACCCGGAGAGAGGGAGAGGGAGCCCCCACATACGAGTATGCAGGGAAATCGGGCATAAACATTCACTTAGCCATAATAAAAGAAGAGCAACGTCAACGGCAACGGCAACGGCAACAGCAGCCAAAATACTCCGCACGTCGACGTTCTCAAATGAACAACATTTCTATTTAAACAGCCCCCGGAGGCCCCCCAAAAGGAAGGGGAAAGAAGAGAAGAAAAAGGCAGGAAGGCATCAGACCTTCGCTCAGAGGTGGGGTCACTGCGGATCCTCGGGGGCAAAGCGAAATTTGTCTGAAGTTTCGCTCTTTTGAATGGAGAAGGACCCCCCCCGCCCCCACCGTCATTCCAGGGCTCTGATTTTTTTTTCTTTTCTCCATTCCTAGAGCCAGATTTCCTTCGACTGATTAAAAATTGAATGATGAAGGCGGCCCACTATCGCCCCCAACATGAAGGAAGGATATCCAGCATAGAAATTTTTATAGGACTGGTGGGTGGGCAGAGGGGGGTCCAGAAACTACACCGAAAGAGA